TTGAGTTTTGGAGTTGTAGTTCACCTACATCCAGAGAGCACTGTGGACCTACATCCAGAGAGCACATTATGGGTCTGGATCAAACTTGGTACGAATACTCAATATGCTCAAATACGGAACACCGGTGGAGTTTGGGGAAAATAGAGTTGACATTTGGGAGTTGTASTTGRTGGGATWTATAGTTCWCCTACAKTCAAAGAYDATTCCYAWCRCCYCCAYRYATYGAATTGYYCCAAARTTSSCACACAGYYCRCCCATGACCAACAMAAAATACTGGAAGGGTTTAGTAAGCATTGATCTTGAGTTTTGGAGTTGTAGTTCACCTACATCCAGAGAGCACTGTGGACCTACATCCAGAGAGCACATTATGGATCTGGACCAAACTTGGTACGAATACTCAATATGCTCAAATACGGAACACTGGTGGAGTTTGGGGAAAATAGAGTTGACATTTGGGAGTTGTAGTTGCTGGGATATATAGTTCACCTACACTCAAAGAAAATTCCGATCCCCGCCAGTGATAGAATTGGGCCAAATTTCCCACACAGAGCCCCCATGACCAACATAAAATACTGTGTTTTCTGATGGACTTTGGCCCTGCCGTGTTCGTTTCTGTATCATGGGTTTTATAGACTCAAATTGACACAAACACGCACATACACATGAAATCACACATTGGGGTTGAAAGGGTCTTTGAGTGAAATTAGCAAATGCTAAGCAAGGGGCTTTGAATGAAATTAGCAACAAAGGAGAAATATACCCTTTCTCTGTAGAAAAGGAGCAACATGGAAGAAAATGTTTAAAAAACAAGAGATGATATGTTGAAGTCATTCAAAGTTCAAGCTTACATAGGAAGTTGGGTTGTGGTTAAACACAAAGGTTGTGGTTAAGTGCAAAGTCTGCAGGTACAAGAAGGTACTTTCCATCAAGAGGTTGATGGGCCAGGAAGAATAAAGGTCAAAGTACTTTRCATGACAAAAATATTCTTGTTTACTTGAGGGCATATATGTAGAAGTCATTCAAAGTTCAAGCTTACATAGGAAGTTGGGTTGTGGTTAAACGCAAAGGTTGTGGTTAAGCGCAAAGTCTGCAGGTACAAGAAGGTACTTTCCATCAAGAGGTTGATGGGGCAGGAAGAGTAAAGGTCAAAGTACTTTCCATGACAAAAATATTCTTGTTTACTTGAGGGCATATAAAGACTGAGCCACAGTGAAGTCTGGCCAGGTCAAGCTAGTAATTCTATGAAAATGGATTACCTCTGATCCACCCCAGCGTACCTGGTTGCATGTGGACCATCCTGCACAGCCCTTTCCCTGGCAGGTTTTTGTAGACGGGCCGGACACACACTTTGTTGGTGCTGCCCACCGCCAGGTCCGACAGCAGCACGCTGTGGATCTGAGGTGAGACGCTGAGGAGGGTCGAAGGGCCCGCCTGCCGCCGGCACCGGACCCGGTAGCCAGCCACGTTGCCGTCCGCCGCATCCCAGGAGGCCTTGATGGTGGTGGGGCTCATGTCCTCAAAGCGGAGGTGCTTGATTTTGGAGTTCTCTAGTCAACAGACAATGGAAAAAATTGTCAGGAAAATTAAAAACTAGGTATTTTTGAACCAAAAGGGTTAAATAGATGCAATGACTCAGTAAAAGCTCCAGTTCTATATAAGCAGGTGCACCTGTAGCTTAGTAGCTGTCAGTCTGAGGTAAACCTCAGTGGGAGAAAGGTCTCAGTCTGGGAGAAGGCCTCATAGTATGAGGTAGGCCATCGTTCGTGAGATAAGGCCTCACAGTGTGAGGTAGGCCATAGCTTGTGAGAGAAGCAGGTGTGCTTGTAGCTTAGTAGCTGTCATTTTGGGATAAACCTCAGTGGGAGAAAGGTCTCAGTCTGTGAGAAGGCCTCACAGTGTGAGGAAGGCCATAGTTTGTGAGAGAAGCAGGTGTGCTTGTGGCTTAGTAGCTATCATTTTGGGATAAACCTCAGTGGGAGAAAGGTCTCAGTCTGGGAGAAGGCCTCACGGTGTGAGGAAGGCCATAGCTTGTGAGAGAAGCAGGTGTGCTTGTGGCTTAGTAGCTATCATTTTGGGATAAACCTCAGTGGGAGAAAGGTCTCAGTCTGGGAGAAGGCCTCACGGTGTGAGGAAGGCCATAGCTTGTGAGAGATGCAGGTGTGCTTGTAGCTTAGTAGCTGTCATTTTGGGATAAACCTCAGTGGGAGAAAGGTCTCAGTCTGTGAGAAGGCCTCACAGTGTGAGGAAGGCCATAGTTTGTGAGAGAAGCAGGTGTGCTTGTGGCTTAGTAGCTATCATTTTGGGATAAACCTCAGTGGGAGAAAGGTCTCAGTCTGGGAGAAGGCCTCACGGTGTGAGGAAGGCCATAGCTTGTGAGAGATGCAGGTGTGCTTGTAGCTTAGTAGCTGTCATTTTGGGATAAACCTCAGTGGGAGAAAGGTCTCAGTCTGTGAGAAGGCCTCACATTGTGAGGTAGGCCATAGTTTGTGAGAGAAGCAGGTGTGCTTGTAGCTTAGTAGCCGTCATTTTGGGATAAACCTCAGTGGGAGAAAGGTCTCAGTCTGTGAGAAGGCCTCACGGTGTGAGGAAGGCCATAGCTTGTGAGAGATGCAGGTGTGCTTGTAGCTTAGTAGCTGTCATTTTGGGATAAACCTCAGTGGGAGAAAGGTCTCAGTCTGTGAGAAGGCCTCACAGTGTGAGGTAGGCCATAGTTTGTGAGAGAAGCAGGTGTGCTTGTAGCTTAGTAGCTGTCATTTTGGGATAAACCTCAGTGGGAGAAAGGTCTCAGTCTGTGAGAAGGCCTCACAGTGTGAGGAGGCCATAGTTTGTGAGAGAAGCAGGTGTGCTTGTAGCTTAGTAGCTGTCATTTTGGGATAAATCTCAGTGGGAGAAAGGTCTCAGTCTGTGAGAAGGCCTCACAGTGTGAGGAAGGCCATAGCTTGTGAGAGAAGCAGGTGTGCTTGTGGCTTAGTAGATGTCGTTTTGGGATCAACCTCAGTGGGAGAAAGGTCTCAGTCTGTGAGAAGGCCTCACAGTGTGAGGAAGGCCATATTTTGTGAGAGAAGCAGGTGTGCTTGTGGCTTAGTAGATGTCGTTTTGGGATAAACCTCAGTGGGAGAACGGTCTAAGTCTGTGAGATATGGCCTCCAGTTTGGTTTGGGAGGATAATAGGCATGCCGTGCGCTGCTTGGGCGCCCAGAGCTGGCCTTCCCGCTCACCTTCCTGGGTGCAGGCTTTAGCGGAGAGCGCTTTCTCTTTGCCCGACTTATAAATGGCTGAGACGGTCACCAGGTAAGTGGTGTTGGCCTCCAGGTCCTCCAAGACGGTGCTGTTGAGGCTTCCTTTCACCTCCACCAGCTGGATGGCGTTCCCAGGCAGAGGACCATAGAGGAGCTGGTAGCTGGCCACACTCTCCGGAGTCGGGGACCAGCTGACCCGAACGCTGTGGGGCTTGGAGTCCGAGATGAGGACCTGTGCAGGGCTGATCACTTCTATGGGGAGAGAGAGAAAAAGCAATCAGAAACAGCATCAGGTGGATTGCAGTGTTTTTCTGCTAGGAATACATTAGTCATAGAATTCTAGCGATGGAAGGGACCCCAAGGGCCATCCAGTCCAACCCTGAAGAAACACAATCAAAGCAGTCCTGACCAATGAGCATCCACTAGAGTACTTGGGTTGTTTACTCCATGGCAGAATGGGGTTGGATCACCCTTGGGGACAGAGAGCTTCATCTATGCTGACGATCATGCCATCACCACTCAAGCAGGGAGCTTTGAAATGGTTGAAGAGAAGCTCTCCGAAGCTTGCTCCATCAATGCTGAACATTGCTACAAAACAGGAGCTTTTTTGTTGAGAAGCAGATGGCGGAAACAGAAGGACGGCCCGACTCAAGAGAGTGTGCTTGCTCCATCAATGTTTGACATTTACACAAATGACCAGCCACTGCCAGAAGGGATAGAGAGTTTCATCTATGCTGACGATCGTGCCATCACCACTCAAGCAGGGAGCTTTGAAATGGTTGAAGTGAAGCTCTCCGAAGCTTGCTCCATCAATGATTAACATTGCTTCAAAACAGGAGCTTTTTTGTTGAGAAGCAGATGACGGAAACAGAAGGACGGCCTATTCAAGAGAGTGTGCTTGCTCCATCAATGTTTGACATTTACACAAATGACCAGCCACTGCCAGAAGGGATAGAGAGTTTCATCTATGCTGACGATCGTGCCATCACCACTCAAGCAGGGAGCTTTGAAATGGTTGAAGACAAGCTCTCTGAAGCTTCCACCATCAATGTTTAACATTTACACAAATGACCAGCCACTGCCAGAAGGGATCCGAGAGTTTCATCTCTGCTGACAATTGTGCCATCACCACTCAAGCAGGGAGCTTGAAATGGTTGAAGAGAAGCTCTCCGAAGCTTGCTCCATCAATGTTTAACATTTAAACAAATGAGCAACCACTGCCAGAAGGGACAGAGAGTTTCATCTATGCTGATGATCGTGCCATCACCATTCAAGCTGGGAGCTTTCAAATGGTTGAAGAGAAGCTCTCTGAAGCTTTCTCCATCAATGTTTGACATTTACACAAATGATCAAAGGTGATTTTCCTGCTTCTTGGCAGAATGGGGTTAGAATGGAATGCCCACGAGCTCTCTTCCAACTCAATGATTCTACGAGGGTTGAATGAAAAGTAATGCCTCCACCTTCACAACTCAACAGGAAGCAGTACTGGTATGCGGCAGGTACTGACTTGTTCAGTAGACTCTCCTCTACAGTTCCATTTCGGTGGGAAGCCTTAGAAGAAAAAGTAATGCCTCCACCTTGGTAACTCCTCGACAGGTGGCAGTACTGGTATGCAGCAGCTACTGGCTTGTTCAGTAGACTCTCCTCTACAGTTCCATTTTGGCAGGAAGCCTTAGCATTGAACGATTGTGTTGTTAAAGTGAAAAGTAATGCCTCCACCTTCGTAACTCCTCAACAGATGGCAGTACTGGTATGCAGCAGGTACTGGCTTGTTCAGTAGACTCTCCTCTACAGTTCCGTTTTGGCAGGAAGCCTTAGCATTGAACGGTTGTTATTAAAGGGAAAACTAATGCCTCCATCTTCATAACTCCTCAACAGATGGCAGTACTGGTATGTGGCAGGTACTGGCTTTTTCAGTAGACTCTCCTCTACAGTTCCATTTTGGTAGGAAGCCTTAGCATTGAACGGTTGTGTTGTTAAAGTGCGAAGTATGAGAAGTGAATAGTAGTCGTTAAAGAGCACATTCTGCATTTGATTTATTAAAATATTCCCACCCAAACCCAAGTCACGAAGTAAAATATTCCCACCCAAACCCAAGTCACGAAGTAAAATATTCCCACCCAAACCCAGGAAACTTGGGCAGAAACGTATCCGGTTGTCTGGTGATTATGTGGGAAAGTGAATAGTGGTCGTTAAAGAGCACATTCTGCAATTGATTTATTAAAATATTCCCATCCGAACCCAAGTAACGAAGGTGGAGGCATTACTTTTCATTCAACCCTCGTATGATTCTATGACATATGGGGGAATGTGTGCGCAGCGATGCAGGCATATAGGATCTCTGTGTAGATCTACTCATAGGAAACGAATGACCAATTCTTTGCTCTTACCTTCCAAAGTGGTGACTCTGGTGACCTGGGGAGGGATATACTTCTCGTTCGACTCTGGTACGAGCACAACCTCGTAAGTGGTTTCCGGCTGGAGGTTGTGCACGACAGCGCTGGTGTGGTCACCGGGCATCTGTCTGGTCAGTTTCCTCCGGGGGTCTCCATTTGGGGCATACTCCAGGACGTAATACCCAGTGCCACGGGTCAGGAGCGGTGGCCAAGTGACGCGGAAGCTGCTTGAAGTTATTTCCGTTGCACGGAGACGCTTGGCCTGCATGACCCCTGGAAGGAAACACATTGATTCAAAATCTCTCTATAGAAATCGTCTCTAAATCTATGCTGACGATCGTGCCATCACCACCCAAGCAGGAAGCTTTGAAATGGTCGAACTGAAGCTCTCTGAAGCTTTAGGTCAGAGTTTCTCAACCTTCCTAATGCCCTTAATACAGTTCCTCATGTTGTGTTGACTCCCAACCATAACTTTATTTTCGTTGCTACTTCACAACTGTCATTTTGCTACTGTTACGAATCGTCATGTAAATATCTGATATGCAGGATGTATTGTCATTCACTGGGCCAAATACCTAACACGTCCAAATCTGAATACTGGTGGGGCTGCTTGTCATTTGGGAGTTGTAGTTGCTGGGATTTACAGTTCATCTACACTCAAAGAGCATTCTGGACTCTACCAATGATGGAATTGAACCAAATTTGGCACACAGAACTCCCATGACGGAAGCTGGGGCTAACAGTGGGAGCTCACCCCACTCACCAGAGTCAATCCGCTGACACTGTGATCAGCAAGTTCAGCAGCTCAGTGGTTTCAACCCGCTGCACCACCGGAATCCCATAATACAAGTACCTTGTGTCGCTTTATATTCAGAGGTCATAGGTTTGAAAGAGACCACAAAGGCCATCCAGCCCAACCCCCTGACGTTCAAGAATGCGCATCCAAAGCAATTACGTTCTTGGGATTTCTAAAATACGCTCAAACTATGAAGTCTTTAAGTACAACAAAGATGTCATATTCCATTTTGGGATGGAGCCGGAAAGAGAAATATAGAATTGTGGAACACAAGGGACATAAAGGTGAATGGCCAGCAGGTGGCATCTTAGGGCTATGAAAGATTCAAGGTAAGAGATTCACAAATTATGGCCCAGGTGAGAAATCAGTCTGTCTGACTGTCTACCTGTCTGTCTGTCTATCTATTTATCTTTCTACCTACCTACCTACCTACCTACCTACCTTTCTATCTACCTACCTACCTACCTTTCTATCTATCTATCTATCTTTCTACCTATCTTTCTATCCTACCTACCTACCTACCTCAAGAATAGGGCTCTACAGCCACATACGGACCCACAAGAATATTGGAAGACAATCATCCTCGTAAAGCGAGGGATCGCCTAAAAAAAAGTCTACCTATCTATCTTTCTATCTACTTACCTATCTATCTTTCTACCTACCTACCTACCTACCTATCTTTCTGTCTATTTTTATCTACCTACCTACCTACCTTCCAACCTGCCTACCTACCTACCTACCTACCTATCTTTCTGTCTATCTTTCTTTCTATCTACCTACCTACCTTCCAACCTACCTACCTATCTTTCTACCTACCTACCTACCTACCTACCTATCTACCTACCTACCTATCTATCTTTCTATCTACCTACCTACCTTCCAACCTACCTATCTATCTTTCTACCTACCTTTCTACCTACCTATATCCTATCTATCTACCTACCTACCTAATCTACCTACCTACTCTACTACCTACCTACCTATCTACCTACCTATCTATTTATCTATCTACCTATCCTACCTACCTATCTATTTATCTACCTACCTTTCTACCTACCTACCTACCTACCTTTCTATCTACCTACCTGTCTGTCTATCTATCTATCTATCTACCTACCTACCTACCTACCTACCTATCTTTCTATCTATCTTTCTACCCACCAACCTACCTACCTAATATCTTTCTATTTATCTACCTACCTTTCTACCTACCTATCTATCTATCTATCTTTCTTTCTTTCTACCTTTCTACCTACCTACCTACCTACCTACCTTCCAACCTACCTACCTATCTATTTATCTATCTTTCTACCTACCTACCTACCTACCTACCTACCTTTCTATCTATCTATCTATCTATCTATCTATCTATCTATCTATCTATCTTTCTTTCTTTCTTTCTTTCTATCTACCATCATCTTGAAGTTGGAAGAGACCCCAAAGGACATCCAGTCCAACCTCTCCCACCAGGCAGGACGATAGAATTACTATTATATTATTATCCTACCTACCTACCTATTTATCTATCTTTACCTTACCTACCTACCTACCTACCTTCTATCTATCTTTCTACCTACCTACTATCTACCTACCTATTTATCTATCTTTACCTACTACCTACCTACCTACCTTTCTATCTATCTATCTATCTTTCTACCTACCTACCTATTTTTCTACCTACCTACCTACCTACCTACCTACCTATTTATCTATCTTTCTACCTACCTACCTTTCTATCTATCTATCTTTCTACCTACCTACCTACCTATTTATCTATCTTTCTACCTACCTACCTTTCTATCTATCTATCTTTCTACCTACCTACCTATCTACCTACCTACCTATCTATTTATCTATCTTTCTACCTACCTACCTACCTTTCTATCTATCTTTCTACCTACCTACCTACCTTTCTACCTACCTAATCTTTAGGCTTTGTATTGTAAATCAGATTGTTTCCTTGCACCGTTTGCTACTTCGAGAGAGAAAAAATCAACATACAAACAACAACAACAACAACAACAACAACAACAGAGCTCTAGTCCAAAACTCTAGTCTAACTGGCCAGAGACACCAATGGGCTGAAGCCAGAGAAGGGAGCCACCAAAACAAGAGAGGTTTGGATGCAAAGGCCCGAGACAGACCGTTCCTTCTTGCCGCACTGCATTCTCCGTGCATCTTGTCAACATTGGCGCGACTCCCGCCAGCCCTTCCTGCCCACATGGCCATTTGGCTTTGGCACGAGTCCCAGGGACTTCCTTCCTTCCGTGCCAGATGTCTGCCTCCAGTGCCGGCTTTACAAGTGCCGGAAAATGCCGCCTTCTCAGCATCCAGGGAGCGAATGCATTTGCAAACGTGCCTTCGGAGACAACAACTTCTCTGGTCCCTCGACCGCACTGTTTCTCAACCTTCCCAACGCCGCGACCCCTTAATACAGTTCCTCATGTTGTGGTGACCCCCAACCATCACATTATTTTCATTGCTACTTGAATGAAAAGTAATACCTCCACCTTGGTAACTCCTCAACAGATAGCAGTACTGGTATGTGGCAGGTACTGGCTTGTTCAGTAGACTCTCCTCTACAGTTCCATTTTGGTGGGAAGCCTTAGCATTCAACGGTTGTGTTGTTAAAGTGAAAAGTAATGCCTCCACCTTCGTAACTCCTCAACAGATGGCAGTACTGGTATGTGGCAGGTACTGGCTTGTTCAGTAGACTCTCCTCTACAGTTCCATTTTGGTGGGAAGCCTTAGCATTCAACGGTTGTGTTGTTAAAGTGGAAAGTAATGCCTCCACCTTCGTAACTCCTCAACACATGGCAGTACTGGTATGTGGCAGGTACTGGCTTGTTCAGTAGACTCTCCTCTACAGTTCCATTTTGGTGGGAAGCCTTAGCATTGAACGGTTGTGTTGTTAAAGTGAAAAGTAATGCCTCCACCTTCGTAACTCCTCAACACATGGCAGTACTGGTATGCGGCAGGTACTGGCTTGTTCAGTAGACTCTCCTCTACAGTTCCATTTTGGTGGGAAGCTTTAGCAGAAAACGCAATGCCTCCACATTCGTAACTCCTCAACAGATGGCAGTACTGGTATGTGGCAGGTGCTGGCCTGTTCAGTAGACTCTCCTCTACAGTTCCATTCTGGCAGGAAGCCTTAGCAGAAAAAGTAATGCCTCCATCTTTGTAACTCCTCAACACATGGTATGTGACAGGTACTGGCTTGTTCAGTAGACTCTCCTCTACAGTTCCATTTTGGCAGGAAGCCTTAGCAGAAAAAGTAATGCCTCCACCTTCGTAACTCCTCAACGGTTGGCAGTACTGGTATGTGGCAGGTACTGGCATGTTCAGTAGACTCTCCTCTACAGTTCCATTTTGGCAGGAAGCCTTAGCATTGAACAGCTGTGTTGTTAAAATGCGAAGTATGGAACCCTGTGCAGTCGGTTTATGGTGATTGTGTTGATGTGAGTACAGTGCCTTAGCGTGACAAACAAAGAGTTGGATGTCCTACGACAGCAACCACCGAGTTTCCGCAACCAGTGTCTCACAGTTCTCTCAACGTACCCATTGTGCACAGACCTTCCGATAGCCAAGCAAAGCAATAATGTGACCCACGCGTTCATGTGAAATGCCGATTATGCTTGAAATTTCTCTCTGAGTGATACGACAATCGTCCTGAATCAAACTGTCAAACTTTTGCTTGTGAAACTCGGTGGTTGCTGTCACAGGATGTCCAGCTCTTTGTTTGTCATTCAAGTGTTATGTTCCCACCACAACACCTTTAATGAAGCACAGTACTCACATCAACACAAACCCCATAATCAGGTTGCATTCTCTGATGAATCTCCTTTGGGGTGACACCTTCTGCTGTCAAGAATTCAATGACTGCATGTTACTTAAGTCGCATTGACCGACCGTCTGAGCAGGGTTCCATACGTTGCACTTTAACAACACAACCGTTCAATGCTAAGGCTTCCTACCAAAATGGGACTGTAGAGGAGAGTCTACTGAACAAGCCAGTACCTGCCACACACCAGTACTGAAGGAGGCATAAGCATAAGAAGAATATTAAGTTGCTAAACTGCTCAGCTTACGTAGGAAATTGGTTTGCGGTTAAGCGTGATACTGAAGTCTGCAATTAGAGAACAAAATGTGGTTTTGACAGCCTAACACTGTTTGTGAGTTGTAGTTGCTGGGATTTATAGTTCAGCTACAACCCAAGAGCATTCTGAACTCCACCAACGACTCCATATCTGCAATTTCACACTGGAGGACAGCTAAAAGAGGTCAGAGACCCCCAATCTTGTATCCCATGAAGACGGATGACCCCTTGGCTGATAAGCTTCTCTTATGTGTCCTCCACGGGCATTTCCTTGGCTCCTCTTAGATGAGATGCCCCTGGGGATGGGCATGGAGAGGTTGCCAGCAAGCAACTGGCACATGGCAGGGAGTCTGAAGGGGAGATGGGCCAAGTTGGAGAACAATGCCTCTCTTTGT